GGGCATGTGCCCTGACCGGGAATAGAACCGCAAGCTCCTGGTTTATAGTTCGACGTTCAACCAATCAGCTACACCAGCCAGGCTATTTTACATTCTTTTTTTAAAAATATATTTTATTGATTTTTTACAGAGAGGAAGGGAGAGGAATAGAGAGCCAGAAACATCGATGAGAGAGAGACATCGATCAGCTGCCTCCTGCACATCTCCCACTGGGGATGTGCCCGCAACCCAGGTACATGCCCTTGACCAGAATCGAACCTGGGACCTTTCAGTCCGCAAGCCGACGCTCTATCCACTGAGCCAAACCGGTTTCGGCTATTTTACATTCTTAGACTGCCTCCATACTCTTATCAATCCTGAAGTGAGTCTAATTCATTCTTTGGTCTATACTTTTTCCTATAGCTTCTAATGCTATCTCATCATTCTCCCAAGTTAATTTACCAACAGTAAGAATTTGCAAGAGCGATCAGGACTCTCTCTCCATTATTCATTCTGAACTCTCACAATAACGTTTCACTGTAAGTAGCTTCTGCTCTCATTCCCATCAAGGCTGGGTAGACAAGTCCTTTTGTCCTCTTCACTTTCTGACACAACTCCCCTACTATTAACATTTTCAAGTTCTTTTCTCTTCCTTTTATTGTATATAGACTAAATCTTTACAAGTCTCTTCATTACTAAATATCTTTTCAACTCTTGTTAGACAACAGACACAGATGCATTAGTAGTTTTGAGGCTATGGGTAACCGCTAAAGCAGAGCTCTGGGCACCTTCTATCATTTTCCCTTTGTGTCTTCTCTAGGGACCAACACCACAGTGGCTATAAACTAGTCATAATCAAAGTTTCTTGATCTAGGGCACTATAGCTCCTCAAACACCCCCGGCTTTCAGCAGTATGCAGCTTCTCTCTTGGGCTATACTGTCTCCTAAATTGCCTATTTTATAATATGTCTGATCATCAGTAAATATTTTTTCTAGGGAGCTGGGGCAGAAAGGGAGGGACTTTAGATCAACCCAAATACAAATGGCACAGCTTTTCTTTTAGCTCTTGGAAAACCTCTAACTTTCTTTTGTTTGTCAGTCTTTTTTGACCTAATACTTATTATCGATATATCCATGCCCTCTAATTTTCAATGCTTGTCTTTCTTTGGTACCATTTGAAGAAACCTTTAATCATTATTTATTACTATTTTACCACCTTAGAAAGTTCATGAAAAATCGCAAGTTCCCATTCTCTGTCAGTTATGTCTAATGATGGACGAGAGGTTTAAGCCACTATCCAGTGTTTCAACCATTTACCCCTGTTGGGGGTGATTCTCCAAACTCGCACAGCCCGTGAGGTGGTCTGCAGCACATCGCACTGTATTGTTGGGAGTTCAGCTGCCATGGTGCGAACACGTGCCTGATTCCACAGAGCCTGTGACACAGATGGGCACTGGACCAGGAGTGCCCAGCACCATGCTGCCTTCAGACTTCCTTCCCCCTTTGGACAGCCAGGACCCTGTTCCTAGGCCAAGTGTGTGTGCCAGACTCCCTCTCCTGAGTACGGGAGTTTCTTCCCAGGAGAGCACTCAGTCTCATGCAGCAAGTTTCTTGCAGGCCAGCCCCACTAGTTTGCCAAGTGTGCCTGGATACGTTTAAATCCCAGGGGTTCGTGTAGCTTCAATTCCAGTTAGGATTCCCCTGTTCCCTTCCCCTCACATAGTTTTAAAAAGCAAAGGCTGTGCATATGAATATCCAGAATTTAGTATTTTCCTCTCAACGCCCAGGACTTTCATCTCGATGCCTTCTGACTCCTCCCCTCGCCCCTCCCCCCCACTTGGTTCTCCCTCTCTCCACTTTCCTCACAAGTCTTTGAATACTACGGTTGGCTTCTCTCTACCCTTTAATCTCATTTCTTGAGGTCCATAAGAAGTCTCGGGGTCATGAAGCTCTAGTTGGCCTACTTCTGGAGAGACTGTGTAGTTATAATTTGGGGTGATAGCCCAGGGGCAAGGAGAAGTGGTAGTGAATGAACGTAGATGCACATCTCTCTCTGGAGACTTAGCAGAGAGAATACAGGGAGAAAGGTGGGGGGAGATTAAGGAGAGCGACCAGAGTAGGGAGCTGCCTGGAGCTGTAGCCAGAAGGTGTTCCAGTGAAGCAAGTTTTTCTTAGAATGAATGTCTGACAGCCAGCTTTTTACCTCACTGAATGCACAAGATGCCTTGGGTCCAGGACAGCCCAAACATAGCTCTTTCTGAACAAGTTTCCTTGTCATTCCCTCTATCTGCTATAGCATATGACCCCCAGAACACACATGCACCAACACACACACACACACACACACACACACACACACATCCCAATATGTACACACACACCAAATTACAGAGAAGGCAGGCCTTACTAAGCATTGTGAAATAATATCCTACGGGTCCCAAATTTTTTACTACCCCCTCTGACAATACCCAAGGATATTTAAGCTAGGTATAATTCACCGTATAATTAGAAAGAGTAAAGTTTAAAAATGTTTTTCAAGGGTGAACAGCATGACTAATTCTTATCCGCTGTAAAGTATAAGTAATTGAAATCGGGCTCTTTCCTATTTAGCCAGGGGGAGGATTAGGAAGTAGAAGCCACAAGATAATCTGAAGTCTTGTAGGGAAGAGAAGGGTTCAGAATTTCAAAGACAAGTTTCTTCCTACTTAAAAATTTGTCCAGAGGGAACAAAGGTGATATTAGAGGGGAGCTCTGTTTCAGTAGAGCAACAGAATAGAAGGCAGATAACAGTGCATAAACAGTTATGAAACTAAAGCAACTAGGACAGACTCATTGAAGGAGTATGGATGGCATTGAAAGGAAAGAGAAATGCAGTGGTGATTCGGGCCAAGTAGAAGTTTTTTCCAGAAGAGTATAAAAGGAAAATGAAGGAATATACAGGTTTAGGTCATACCCCCAGAGCTATTTCACTTATTTACACTCCATCTGTTTCTTCAAAGGGAATTCAGCCCTTTAAGTAATTCCCAAAATTTGTTTTTTAATTTTCTACGTTATAAGGCAGTGCCCTAAAACATATTTTTTAAAAGTCTTATAAACAAGTTGATTAAGCAAAGTTAAACAGATGTGTCAGATTTGGTAGTAGTCTTATGTTAAATTTTATGTTAAAATCCCACAATATCTCAAATCCAGTTCTGGGCAAATAATTACTGGCAAAGACCACATGATAGCCCTCAGGACAACTGTGTATCATGGGTTCCTGCCAAACAGTCTCAGGCGATTCTCAGGCAAATCACAAATTTTCAAGGGATAATCTTATTCCCTGTAAGTGAAATGTCATTTGTATTCCAGGATATTTTATAGAGAGATAGCTGTCTTTCCTTGTCCTCATTTCCTTCCTTCTTTATGTATTGTAGCAAACGCTGCTGAGAAACACTGAGCAACAGAAAAGCACTTCAGCACTTAGCATTTAAATGAGGACTCTAACTGGGAATAAGCTGTGCTCATTCTCTGTTCCGAAGTCTCTAAGTGAAAGCTGCTAAGGAACAGCTCGAGTCACTGTTCCCAGAAAGCCTGGGATTGCGGGAACCCCGTCCAGGACCATTATGGAAGCTGAGCATTTGGTTTTGTTTTCTGACCTCGTTACCTTGGCCCCTGTAGTGGAGACTTGAGAAAATATTCACGTTCTCAATTGCACTGATGGATACAATGCCAGTTTATGTCAGGATCAAGAAGGTAGGTGTGCATGATACCTCTAAGACTTGCCCTATAAAACAACCAGTGAGCAGTTCAAGGTAGGAAAATTGGCAGGTTTTGGCACTTGGGTACCATTTTCACTACTTAATGGAACTAAATCCGTGGATGGTAAAAATGTCCTCACCTCAATCTGAATAGCTACAGCTCAAACAGAAACAAACTCAAATTAGTAACAAATTCTCCTTTTACTAATTTGTGTGCTTCATTTTTTCACCCCAATGGGGGTCATATCTGTATGATGTTCCCCAAGATTCACTCTAATTACTGGCACTAGATCTCTTGAACATGGGATAGGGGGTTCCTTTTTCTGCCCCTCTTCTTCCTATTTTGAACCACAACAGTATTTGGAAGATTTAGACTAAGGGAATTCATGCAGTTGAAAATGCTACAGAAAGTATACATGAAGCAAGTTTAGTCAAGGGTTGATAACTGTTGAAGCTGAGTTATTGGGCGTTGTTATATGTACTGTTCTATGTTTTTTTAAAAAAAGAAAATTTCAATAATATAAAATTAAACAACAGAATACGCCTGAAGCAATAATCTATGCAATTTGGGCTCCACCAGACACCTTGGATTAACATGAAGAAACAACAGACAGGATGACATGGCCCATCTTTTGGTTTGCTATTTATTATCCTGGATATTGGCCTGGAATGGAAACTTCAGAGTCTGATATGGTGAACCTGAAGAGCCCGAGTAAATGAAAAGGACTGAGATGGTAGCAAAAGAGAATTACAGTTTTTAATTAAAAATATTTATTTAAAAATATAATTGCTATCTCTATCTAGTTGCATATATGGGAGAATTACAGTCTTGAATGAAGGGGAAATTCTTCCTTATGCAGGATGGTTTAAGCTTGGCCTGGAAAACACAAGAATTTCATCTATGGAGCTGCATAGAAATACTGAACCATTGGCCTACTTACAGGGTCTACTGAGATTCCTGAAGCATAGCTTCAGTCTGTGCTGCGACTGGGGCATGCTGACGCTGGGAAAGCAACCTATTAAGAAAAGTGACTTTGGACTGGGCAAATAACAGTGAATTTAAATGATCCCCTATGGTCTGATTTCTCTTGGTCTGGAGAAAACTATGACCTAAGAAGCATATAGAGAGATGATATGATCAAGGACCTATGATAAAGATTGAGAAAAGCAAACCATAAAAATTTGGCTTATAATGAGACTAGAGAGTCTGCCCAGAGTGGATGATAGTTTTTTTTAAGAGGCCCTCAGAGTGTAGGTACATTTCAGATGGGAGGCAAGAGGGACTGTTATTTACCTTAACCAAGCTCAGAGTTTCCCCCAACTGTTAACCCAGTCTGATCTTTTACCTGGGAGGAAAAATCTGCTTTCTGGGGAGATAAAAGTAAAATTGTACTGACCTCTCTTTCTAAGTCCTCTGAGTTCTTCTCTACCTCTAATAGAAATAAAGGGGTAAATGGAGCACAGAAAAAAAAAAAGGGGATTTTATTATCAGTTCCAAGAGAGACTAGCATTACCCAGTATAGAGCAGCACTAAACCAATTGTCCCAGCTGGGTAAAAGGGGGCAGAGGGGCCGGGGGGGGGCAGTAAACTCCTTCATGGAAGAGAGAGGGGTCGGGTTGAAATTCCTTTTCTTCTGATTATGTATATCCCATTTACCCCTATATAATGTCACAAAAAGGAGATCCTCCTTTGTGTCATATTATCACACACACACACACACACACACACACACACACGCACTCACACACGCACTGTATAGCATCCTCCTCATTACTTATGCCAGCGGTTCTCAACCTGTGGGTCGCGACCCCTTTGGGGTCAAGGGAAAACTCAAGACCATCAGAAAACACATATATAATTACATATTGTTTTTGTGAGTAATCACTATGCTTTAATTATGTTCAATTTGTAACAATGAAAATACATCCTGCATATCAGATATTTACATGATGATTCATAACAGTAGCAAAATTACAGTTATGAAGGAGCAACGAAAATAATTTTATGGTTGGGGGTCACCCCACAACATGAGGAACTGTATTAAAGGGTCGCGGCATTAGGAAGGTTGAGAACCACTGACTTATGCAAATTGGTCTCATAAGAAAAGCTTTAAAAAAGTGTCTCCTCTCAGGACCATATAGCCTTTGTAAATCATAATAATAACAATTATAATAGTTTGTTATTGTTGCTATTATTTATAGCAGGAGAAGTAGAAACTCTGAAAGGAAAAACTCAGGTCTCAAGTTGTTGAGGAAATCAATGACAAAACTGGGAACTGAGCTTCCCTGATCACGTCTCAAGCCCTTAGAACCTCTTACACCACAGCTACCAGCCTACTCCTGCTCAGAATTACCCCACGGACCCCGCCTGTTTTAGGGGACTGTGAACCTTACTGGTTAGGGAAGCTATTACATATGTGACTCCTTTATTGGCATGTTATTTTCCAGATTCCAAAGCAGTTTCTCACACCTGACTTCATTCCCCTAACTTTCTCGTGTGACAAAGCTTAGTGGGTCCTCACTGGATTGTCCGTGTTCTTTTTGTATCCGTTAGAGGGAAAACTCAACAAAAACTTCATAGGACAACACATTACCATGAATTCAATGATTTTAAATGAGCTGTGCATTTTACTGGTCATAATATACATTTGAAAAAGTGTTGCATATATATGCAGAGAAGAGTTAACAATGATGCTTCATGAGAATATGGATTCAAAGACCCCCCCCCCCCATTTAATAACTGAAGCCTTTGCTAGTCAGGGGTTTTGCATGCTGTCATTAATTGAAATTTCAAGAGCCATAGACAGGTTACTCTAAAAACATAAATGTTGAGAAACAAGGGATGATGTATTGCAAAAAGTGCTTTAACACAAGATTTCAGGTAATCTTGCTCTTCTGCAGAAAAGAAACTGACCATGTTTAAATCCTTTGGAAAAACTAAGGGTAGTGATCTCTGTTGAAGAACTCGACCAGAGCCATGGTTAACCTCTGTGTCCCAGTGGATCTTTCTGATTTTGTTATTGCGTTGAGGAGAGTGAAAGAGAGAGAAAGAGGGAAAAGGAGAGGTGGGGGAGAGAGAGAGAGAGAGAGAGAGAGAGAGAGAGAGAGAGAGAGAGAACGAACTGGAAAGACCCAGTATCATTATGATACATCATTTGGAGTTGAATGAAGTCAACAGTTAAGGAAAAATATGTTCTAGGTCCATTCATTTCAGATGAGTAAACGTATTGGAAGTGGACAGTCAAATTACTTCATCCCTGGCCACCATTATAAGCGTCACTGTTTGCTTGGCTATATAACATGCTTTCCCATACTCATTTCTTTCTTCCTTCCTTTCATTCATTTTTTTTTAGCCATTAATAATTAAGAAACAACAAATTTTAAAAAAATAATTTTTCTCAAGTTACTAAAGGATCATTCTTTCAAAAGCACCCAGACAAGAGAAAACTATGGAGAATGCTCTTTCCCCAATTATGTTGCGTTGAGATACCTAGTAAACTGCATATTGTAGGCACATGTCATTTTTATCCGTTCCTTTTCAAGCCCAGGAATTTCTGTTGATGAACTCTTTTAGGCAGTAATTTCAGGCAAGCCTACAATTGAACAGCCAAGCAGAAATTGTGATTCTCTATTTGTTAAATGCTTTTGAGGTCCCCACATAAAAGGTTGATAATGAAGTACTAAGAGAAACATCTGAAAGGCTGCGGTTGGTCAAATTTCTCTGCATGGCACAAAGGGAAAGATGACCTTATGCAAAACCCTGATAGTTCCATTATAAGAATAATCGAGGTTGAACGTTAAATTTAAAAATCACATTTCCAATGCCACCAAAACCAGACTCAGCAAAGTATAAATATTCAAATTGAGGCTTATGGAATGCAATTTAAAAAAAGTTAACTGCCTTATACAGATTTGTACACTTTCTCCTCAAAGTCAGGGAAAGTGAGAAGGGGTTCTTAAACCCTGTTTTTAAATAAGAATTTTCTTTCACATCTCTTTTTTTCTTCTTTCTCTTTGAATCCAGACACTTGAATTTGGACAGACAAGCAACCCAGCCACCTTTCAGTGTGGCAGTGTCAATATCGGAATGAAATGAACATGACCCTCTCCAGCAGGGAAGGAACACACAGTAAAGGTATTTTTTATAGAACAATTCTTCACACTGCCCTGGTGACTGGGGAAAGGAATCTCGTGTTTCTCTTTTGCTGATACTGAATCAGCTGAAGAATACCATGGACATCAGTAGAAATTCTCTGAACTAGTCTCCTCGCCCTTTTGTCTTTTTGTTCTCATGAGAGAGAGAGAGAAAGAAGATTTTTTTGGACATGAAATATTTAATTAAAATACCAATTAAAAATCGACCAATTATTTGGTGGCTCCGTTTATAATCGGGAATGTTGCAAATTATTGCATTAACCGGCACATTGTATTAATTTGGCAGACTTGTTATCAACTCTTTAATAATGATGGCTACACTCATTTATGATAAGAGCACACTCAATTAGCACAGAAAGCTGATTTCAGCAAAGAAACCCCTATTCTTGCTTCCTCAACAGTTTATGTAGCAATTGGATTCGTAACTTGGCTAAATAGATGGTCAAAATGAGAACTGATGAAGAGAGACTGAGCTCACATCTTAATTGAGGAGAAACCCCAAACACCCTGGCGACATGCATTTCCTAGGTCTTACAGTCTGCATGTTATTTTGTATTTGCTTATTAACTTTTCCATGTATAGGTACTTTATGTGTTTTCCAAGAGCTAAGTGCAAATGATGATCATGTCATCTATTATTTGTGTGGTGATTTATAGTTTACAAAACACTTTCACACATGCTATCTTATTTGCTGAGCAATTTAGAAATATTTGTAAATGGAATAAATTAAACAAATTTGTAGAAAGTTTAGGTTCCTAAAATATTTAAATTCAAACATGTCGGCTGACCTAGTACCAACTCAGTAGTTAATTTTTAATCTCTAGGAAGTGATGATATGAGCTATTCCTTAGAATATTCTGAAAACATTCAAGTCAGACAGTGCAAAATAAGATCCCATTGAATTTTTGTCTTCAACATACAGTAGAACTTGCTTTGAACTACCGCCCTCTTCTCTACAGTGCTGAAATTAAGATTTGATAAAAAGGGCTATTGTCTTCCCCAAAAAAACCATGTAGGATATTTGTGATACAGCAATTTAGAAAAATAGGAACCCCCATCTTTTAATTCTTTTATTGGTAGGGGTCTAAGGATTTACTGAAATCAGCCACAATTTGGAAGAGCCCTACTCCCTGGAACACTTTTTCCTAGGAGAGATCCCAACGCGCCCTACATTCCTGGAAATGAAAACGAGCTCTCTCCCATATGTTACATGCATTTTCCTAATTCTAGGTTCCAGGTTACTTACCAGGTATGGCTGAGGTGGAGGACGCAGGTGAGAAGAAAGATGCACACAGAAGGCTTCATAAGTAACATAATCCCCTGGAGTAACAGAGAGAGAAAATTCTAAAAACTTGGGAAGCAGTGCTAAGATGGGACGTACTCTCCTCCTGGTAGTGGGATGGAATTCTCCTCGAACCCCAACTTCCTTGGTGTGTAAGCGATCCCAAACAGAGTTAAGGGGAGGTGAAATGGAGCTGCCAAACTTCCAAAGAAGAGATTATCTACTTAATTAAAGTTTTTCCCCCCTCTAAGTCCTTCAGCCAATCAGAACTCAAGTGCCAGAGAAAGATTGAGTCGATCAAAGGAACACTCCAGGATCCTCCCAGACAAATGCAGAAGAAGGGGACGAGGAAAAGGGGACAAAGAGAGCAACACGGAGAAAAAGCACAAAGAAAGAGGGGTGAGGGGAGGAGAGAGACATAGCAAATCCCCTCCACATAATCACTGCGTGGAGTCTCTCTCCTCCCTCTTGCCAATGCCCTCCCATCCACCTCAGCCTCCCCCACCATGCACACTCACGTGCAGACTCGGGCACGGAGAGGAGAGCCTGGTGCCCAAGGGGATTTACAAGGGACTGTGCTTTCCCGGTTGTCCTTTGTAGGGCTTTGAGACTTAATCTGCATTTAGGATAGCCCTCTTCAGAGAAAAAGGTACTAGGTGCACCTCAGCCCTCTGATTTGAGAATATGGGAAGGGGACCCTACCGTCTCTGGTATTCTTCTTCTAAGTTAGAAAGGGAGCCTAATGGTTTCTTCCTTTCAGCTTTGCCATCAGACACTTACTTGTTGAACACCTGTTACATCCTCAGTCCTACCCTGGGCATTGTGGGCATCTTTAAAACCCTCAAACATGATTTCTGCCCTGAAGACATTTATCAGCTGGTAAGGTGATAATTTAATAAGGTAGTAAATTGCTGCAAACTGACTACAAATCATACAGGCTGATTTAGGGAGGGTTTTCTGAAGAAGACAGAATTTGAAATTCAAAGAAGGGATGAGATTTCAATAGACAGCCACATTCCTACCCTCTGAAACTCAGGTGGTGAAGCCAGTAGGCGTCAAGCTCACACATCTCTGAGTTTCTGTCCCTTCTGTCCCAGTAGAGAGGATGGGCCACCTCAGTCACAGTGCAGGGTCCTCAGAGGGCCCCCAGCTTACTTGCACACGGACACATTTTCTACTTTAGCATCCACATTGCCTTTCCTCAGGGCTCCCCAGGGACAATGGTCTGTCTCTGTATTCCCCACTTTATCCTTATTTCTCTCGCTTCACAACCCGCTCTGGCAAACTGAACTGGAAAATAAAGAATGACTATATTAATTAATTATCTAGATTATTTAAGCCAGATGATTTAGGGGTAGTCACCTAAACATTTGACCAGGTAACTTTGTTACCCACTTGGGATCTTCTAGAGTCTACTTAGACCAATCTTTATTTTGGATTCTTTTTTTGTTTTAAATATATTTTTATTGATTTCAGAGAGGAAGGGAGAGTAAGTTAGAAATATCAATGATGAGAGAGAATCACTGGTCGGCTGCCTCCTGCACACTCCACACTGGGGATTAAGCCTGCAACCCAGGCATGTGCTCTGACCGGGAATTGAACCGTGATCTTCTGGTTCATAGGTAGATGCTCAACCACTGAGCCACTCTGGCAGGGCTATTTTGGATTCCTTATTGCAAGGTGAGCTTGGGCAGTTTTGAGACCCACACAAACAACTTTAGGTCCTTCTCTCCACCCACCCCAACTTTATTGAGGTATAATTGACAGATAAAAATTGTATATATGCTGAAACCGGTTTGGCTCAGTGGATAGAGCGTCGGCCTGCGACTGAAGGGTCCCAGGTTCGATTCTGGTCAAGGGCATGTATTTTGGTTGGGGGCACATCCCCAGTGGGAGATGTGCAAGAGGCAGCTGATCGATGTTTCTCTCTCATTGATGTTTCTAACTATCTCTCTCCCTTCCTCTCTGTAAAAAAATCAATAATATATATATATTTTAAAAATTGTATATACTTAAGGTGTATAACTTTGTTGTGAGAAGAATTAAGATCTAGACTCTTAGCAACTTTGAAGTTTATCTAATCTTCTTAAGCTCCTCTCATCTTTTCCAAAATCTAGTTCTGCAGTTTCCTCTCGGTCTCCTCAAATCAAGGGTTCCATGTAAAAAGGAGCTACTTTGCATTATTCCTCTAAAAATGAATTATATTACATTATCCAATAACTTTTAATATTATATATATTTGAAAAGAAGATGTTCGTAGGTCTCCTGGAGTTTTGTACCAACAACTGATATATTGAAGCATTTATAACCAAGTTTCTTAATCTTCTTTCTACCCTAGTTTATTTTCTGAAGATGTTTGCTTGATATTGTTATTTTAGACCTAAAAATGTGGAAACCAAGGCACAGGCCAGAAAAGCAAGTACTGAATACTCTAAGTAATACTACTCTTTAAATTATTATTTCTCTCCTCTGCCCTTATTTAAAACTTTGATGGCAGTATATAAACTTTTTCCTGAGAAAACATGGAAATGTTCATTTGTCTGTGTATTTAACTGGCAAAAACTTAATGGCCTCTGATGTGTCAGACCCTGTATAGGTCCCTGAATTGTGGGGATAGAGGAGGCTGTCACCACATTTATAGTCTTTTGGAAGACACAGACTAGTAAACGCTCAAAAGTGCTAAGAGAGAGAAAAGCCGGAAGCACTATGAAAGCAGAGAGGCCATACTAGTATCCCTAAAGGAACGAAAGAGAGGCAGAAAGGCTCCCTAAGATGCAAAGACATGGTTGAATCTTAAAACAACAACAACGAAAAACACAACCAAATGAGCTACCAGTAGTGACAGAGAGGAAGAGGGTTCCACATAGAAGAAATAGCAGTAGGTTTTACAAATCTGTGAAGCAACAGGTATGTTTGGAGAACTATAATGTGTCTGTTATGGCTGGAATGTGTATGACATGGAGATAGAAGGAAGGCCCAAGAAATCAGGTGGGAAGGCCCAAGAAATCAGGAAGGGCCTGTGCTAGGGAGTTTGTATTTTATCATAAAGGCGGTTGGACACCATCAAAGGGGATAAGCAGATATGTGACATAAAATTTATAGATCAGATTTGGGGCGGGGGAGATTTTTTTTTTTTGGCAGTGATGAAAGATGGCTTAGATAAGACTACAGGTAGCGACAGGTTAGGGCCAGTTGCAGAAATCCAGGTGAGAAGATACAAAGGCTGACCTATGGTAGTGAAAAAAAGAGGATGGAATTAGATAGCTATTTAGTATCACAGAGGCTGCCATGATAGAATATTTGCTCATTAAGTAGTTAATATTCAGTTGTTAATATTTACTCTATTGTTCTCCAAAGTATTTTTAAAAATCTATTATTAAAGTTGATGTGAGGACAATTAATTTTTAGGTAAAAGAATCCTTTTAGATTTAACCACGTACTCCCTTCCCCCTGCCAAAAAAAAACACCACTCTAGAAACAAAATAAAAATATCAATAGAAATATTTTCAATATATATTTTAAAAAGTGAATTTCTTTAATATGTAAAGAGTTATTATAAACCATTAGGATGAAAAAACAACCCTATTTTACAATGGCTAATTCATATGAATAAGCTCTTCAAAAATGAAGGAATAAAAATATCCATAAGCCCCAGCCGGTTTGGCTCAATGGATAGAGCGTTAGCCTGTGGACTGAAGGGTCCCAGGTTCAATTCCAGTCAAAGGCACATGCCCGGGTTGTGGACTTGATCCCCAGTAGTGGGTGTGCAGGAGGCAGCCAATCAATGATTCTCTCTCATCATTGATGTTTCTATTGTTCTCTCCTCTCCCTTCCTCTCGGAAATCAATAAAAATATATTTTAAAAATCCATAAAAATATTCAGCTTTGCCTAGCTGGTGTGGCTTAGTTGGTTGTGCATTGTCCCATGCACTAAGAGGTCGCTGGTTCAATTCCCAGTCAGGTTACATGCCGGGGTTGTGGGCTCTATCTCCAGCAGGGGTGTGCAGGGGGGAGCCAATAGATGATTTCTTTCTTTTTTTCTTTCTTTCTTTCTTTCTTTCTTTCTTTCTTTCTTTCTTTCTTTCTTTCTTTCTTTCTCTCTCTCCTCTCTCTCTCTCTTTCTTCCTTCCTTCCTTCCTTCCTTCCCTCCTTTCTCTTTATTGTTGAAATTATTACAGATGTCTCTCTTTCCCCCCACCCCATTGCCTCCCTCCACCCGGTTTCTGCCCAGCCCCAGGCCTTCATCACCCTATTGTCTGTGTCCATAGGTAATACATATATGCATATAAGATCTTTGTTTAATCTCTTTCTACCCCCCACCCCCTTCTCTCTGAGAATCGTCAGTCTATTCCATTTCCTTGCCTCTGATTCTATTTTATTCACCAGTTTATTCTGTTTATTAAATTATTTATTTGTTTATTTTGGTTTTAGATTCAATTGTTCATAGATATGTATTTATTGACATTTTATTGTTCATATTTATTCTTCTTTTTAT